CAGGATTCCTCACCTCGGCCTCGCTGCGGCCCGGCAGTTCTCGGGCCAGCTCAGTGGCGTCCGGCTCCGGCTGGCCCTGCCGCGCCTGCAGTAGTCGTAGCAGCTGCCGCTTCTCGCGGGGGCTCCAGGCCGCGGGGCCGGTCACCTCGCCCAGGTAGCGCGCCGGGGCCGCTCGCCGCCGCTGTGGAGGCTTCATGCCGGCGAGGGCGGAGTCGGCGTTCCGGGCTGGCTTTCCTGGTAGGCGGGGTTACGGAGGCCGCTGGGATCAGAAAGGGCGGTGCGGAGGCGGAAACAGATGGGGGCGTGGCTCCGCGTTTGCGGCCCGAAGCAACCATCTGGGTGGGAGAGGCTGGAGGGACCCGCCTGAGAACTGTGGCGGGGGCGAATGAGACACACCCGCCCTCCCCGCCTGCATTTTATCTCCTTCGGGAACTGGATCCGAGACCGTAGATCTCGTGCCGTCCCTTCCATTCCTGGACTAAGTCTAGGAGCTCCTACTGTGTGCTTTGCTTCTCCAAAAGGGGTGGACCCTGGCCGGAAGGCAGCTTGTCCAGTGGTAGCCAAGAACCTGGGCTGTGGGGTCGGCCAGCCCTGGTGACCTAGAGCAAGTGATTTGGCCGAGCCGAACCTCAGTTTACTCATTTGTAAAATGACGTAGTATCCCGCTCAAGGGAAGGGAAGAACTGGGACAGGAGACGTTTATTTAAGAGCTCTAGAGTAGGGGGAGAGGAGGGGTGCCTGGGTGGCTCAGTCGGTTAAGCGGTCGGATTTCGGCTCAGGTCATGATCTCACGATTAGTGAGTTCAAGCCTCGCCTTGGGCTCTGTGCTGACAGCTCACATCCTGGAGCCTGCTGAGGATTCTGTGTGCCTCTCTCTCCCTTCCCCTCCCCCGCCCACGCTCTGTCTCAAAATAAACATAAAAAAATTTTTTTAAAGAGCTCTGGACTAGGCGGAGAGTAGCCTGGAGCAGAGGCCAGAGGTCGAGGCCCTGGCGAGAGCAGGGTCCAAGTGGTGGGGGTGGAGAGCGGAGAAGGCCTGGCTTTGGGAAGATCGCACGAGGCAGGTGGGCAGGCGCAGGGGTTGAGGAAGGAGGCGGGGCTTACTTAAAACTTAAGCAGGTGGGGTTGGGTATCCCTTTCTGTTTAGGACAACACTTGAATCTCCCCTGGCACACGTACATAAGGGTATCGGTCTGGACCTCTTTCAGCCCAGACCCCCGTAAGTCCTGGTCCCGAGGCCTCTGCTTCCTGCCCCCTACACCTGCGCCAAGCGCACACGCAGACTTGAAACTCAGCAGGTCAGACCAGATGTTTATTTTGAGCCCAGGTGGGAGGGTGTGCGGAGCAGCGGGTCGGAGGCGGGAGGGTGCAGGACGCTGGGATGGCGGTCCCATCGGGTCAGAGGTCGACCTCGGCCGATCCAGTCCTGGCGGACCTGGTTCGAGGCGTGGCTGGTGTGTCTCAGGACCCCGCTGGGGGTGTGCCAGCCCTGGGGAGAGGCTACCCAGGCCGAACGAAGTAGAGGACACCCCCTTCCCAGCTGATCATCCGCCTCATCCATCGATCTGTGTGCCGGAGTGAGGGCGGGTGTTGGGTCTGTCCGAGGTTTGAGGACCCCTTTTGTGACACAGGGCCCGAAGTTGGCCGTGGGTGACCCAGTGCCTGAGTTTGAATCCAGCTCCACCCAATTTTGTGACCTTCGACAACTTCAGAGAGTGTCTCATGTTTCTCATTTCTAATATGGGGTTTATGATAGGAGCTACCTGGAAGTTGTTGCGAGGATGAATGAAGTTAATAGGCGTGAAGCCTTCAGAACACTCCCTGGCACAAGGGAAAGCCTATGAAGAGTCATTCTCAGCACCCCCCTCTTCCAGCTGGCCCCACGTTACAGCCTCCCCCCACCCCCGTCACCAAATTTACCTACCTCACTGGGGCCTCCTGGGCTGGGGGTCGCCGGCCGAGTCTCTCGGGAGGGCGCCGGGGGCTGGGGGTGCTGGAAAGGAGAGGCAGGCTCCAGAGCGGTAGGGGTTGCCGCTCATTGGGTCGGGCCAAGAGCGCCCCCTGGGGGCTGCTGCGGGCGTAGCGGAGGCGGGTCTAGGGATGGTCCAGCCCCACCCGCTGGGTCGCGGAGCCCCGGGGTCCGGACTCGCTGGAATAGGCTGCGGGCCTCGGCGGAGGATGCTACCTGAACGCGCACAGACGAGGCCGAGGCCGGCAGCCAGCGCGGCGCCCAGCACGAAGGCCGCCACCACCAGCGCCACCACCGGCGCGGGCTCCAGGGCCGCCGGGGCCGGCGCAGGCGGCTCGGGGAGCACGGCTCGGCCGGGGACGCCCTTGGACGGCCCTGTGGGGAACACAACACGGAGACTGGGCTCGGGCCCCAGCTGTCCTTCCCACCCCCCTCCCCCGACCCCAAGGACCCGTGCGGAGGAGAACTGCGCGCTCACTGGGGGGTGGCCGCGGCACCGTGACCACGATGGGCTGCGTCAGCGTGTGCAGGTGGGGGCTGTCGGCACCCGGGCTCTCGCCGCTGCCGCTGCCGGCGCCCGCGCACGCCTCATCCCGAGGCAGACACTGTGGGCAGGAGGAGGCAAGGGATGGGGATGTCAGGCCCCAGGGTTCAGGGGCCTGTCCCCAGGGCCCCCAAGAGATCTAAGTGTCCAGCTCTCTGTTGCAACCGGGAGGCGCACCAATAAGCCCCTGGAAACCCGACCCCCTGAGAGGTCCCCGAGCCCAGCGCCCAAGATGTACAAGCAGCCAGCCACTCGGCCTGAGGACTCCAAATTTCAGCCCCTCAAAGTCACACGACCCGATTCTCTGAGAACATTGGATAACCAGAAATTTGGCCCCTTAGCCGCCGTCTGCATCCAGCCACCCAGCCCCTCCCAAAGCAAGCCCAGTGCTCCTTCCCCGCCCGCTGAGGAACCCTGGTGCAGAGACCCACAGGCCCCCCTCTCGGTCCTTGTGCCCAGCCACCAGACTGAGAGACCCAGTGACTATCCCCAGCCCCGAGGGGCCCTTGTCTCCAGGCTCCATAGCGTCGGCCCCCTAGATCCACAAACTCCGAGGGGCTCCTCCTTTAGAGGCCAGAGGGTCCATGCCCAACCCCCGACTGGCCCAGGCGCCCAGATTTCCGGCCGGGTGCCCGCGCACCAGCGAGGGCGGGGGCAGCGTCAGAGGCGCGGGCGTCCGGCGGGCTCCCCGGAGGCGGCGGCAGCGACTCAGCTGGCAGTGCAGGAACTGCACCGAGGCGTTGAAGACCGGGCGCAGGCGGAAGCTGAAGCTGAAGCGCGCGGGACGGGCAGCACCCGGGAGCGGCGGCGGCGGCGGCGGGAAGACGACCGAGGAGTCGGCGGGGCAGCCCCCGCGCAGCAGCGCCAGGGCGGGCCCCGGGGCCGGCCGGGAGGACGGTGTCACTGAGCAGCGGTGCAGGACGAGGTCCCAGCGCGGAGAGGGACGGGCCAGGGCCGCCTAGGAGGCGGGGTCGCCATCAGCCCCGCATCAGGCCCGGCTCCCCCCTCCCCGGCGCGCCCCGCGTCCACACCTGCACGAACACGCGGCTGTCGGCCGGGATCTCAAGCGGCCCCGCGCGGCGCGGGAAGGCGTCCTCCGCGTCGGACAGCTCCAGGCTGAAAAGGGGTCGGCGCAGCCAGGGCCCGGGCGCCGCCGGGAATGGGGGCGCTGGCGGGGAGAAAGGGCAGCCCGAAGGACGAGGCCGCGCTCTCCCTTAGACCCTCCAGGCGAGTGACCCAACCTCCCCGCCTCTGCCGCCTCCTTGGGAAAACGGGTGCTGTTTCGGTGAGGGGTGCACCCACGCCCCGCTCCTGCCTCACTGCTGGCAGAGTCGCTGTGCGTCCCCTGAAGACCCAGGGGCTGTCCACAGTCCAGCAACCAAGGCTGGGCGCAAAGCCACTCGCCTCTGCAGGAGACCCCCTTCCCGGGCCTCGATTTCTCCACCCAGAGTGGGCCAGGGAATCCCTGGCTGGGAAGTTGAGGGGTGCCTGATGGGGGGGGGCGGTCAGCAACCCCAGGGGCCCAGGCTGCTCTGTGGGGGCATCAGCTTTCAGGGAGGGTGCTGGCCCCACCTCTTCCTTTCCAAGGGTACTGTGACCAGTAGGGAGGGTGCTGTCCCCTTGCCCTTTGGCACAGCTGAAGCTCAGCCAGGCTGCAGGGGTCTCTGGCTTCTCCATTCGTCCAGGTTCCTCACCGAGAGCAGCAGTAGCAAAGGGTGGGGACACACACACGTACGCGCCCTCCGCCTTGGGGAGGCACTCGGCCGGCATCCTTGTCAAGTGTTCTCATTCAGGACACCCCCCACCCCCACCCCCGTTTCCTAAACGCATTTGAACACTCCTCCCCTGCAGCCATCGGCCTTAGCCTGCCAGGGACTCTGAAGAAGTCGGGGATCCAGGAGCATCTGGACAGAGAGGCAGACCCCACCCGCTCCCCCAGGCAGGGATGAGAAAGGGCAGCACAGGGATGGCAGCGTGACAGGTCCCGTCCCCAGCCTCTACGTACCAGGTGGCCCCCTGGGTAAAGTGGAGACCCCCGAGAGCAGGGCCAGGAGCAGGAGTGCGGCACCTGGCATGCTGGACTGGCAGTCAGGTGTGCCCCAGCAGCCGAGGCGCCGGCGGGCGGCACCCAGGCCTGGCAGGTGGGCAGGCAGCCCTGTCCTTGGCTGAGCGGCCACCCCAGGAGGCAGGGCGCGGGGGCGGTGGACTGAAGGGTGTACATCAGAGCCAGCACCCAAGGCCTGCCGGGGATTAAGGGCTCCTCTCTGGCCAACCTGTGGCCATCGGGGTTGGGGGTGGGGGGAGGTCCCTCACCCCGGTCGCTCGGCATCGGGCAGCTCACTACAAATACCGCCCTACCAGGCCCTGGCCCGGCTCCAGTCTCCCCTCCACGCAGAGGAAGGCACGACGCCCGCGGCCCCCCAGCTCAGGGCTCACAGCCCCTTCCCGCCCGGTCCTGCTGAGCTCTAGACACACAGAGACACGATGGAAGAAAAGGGAGGGGTTTTATTCTCAAGCGTCTAAGGATTTACAAACGAGGGCATTTCATTTTAAAAAGGGACAGGGGAATACTGGCGACCAGAGAAGGGGGCTGTGGGCCACCCCAGGCCCCTGCCCGCCCGCTCCACCCTCTGCCTGGTCAAGAGGGAGGGCTGGTGACCGGTGACGGAGGGCAGGCCAGGAAAGAGGCAGAGGGGAAGAGGTTCCCCCAGAACTCCCACTTAACACTGAAGGAGGGCAGGGGTGGGCAGACACATTCACAAAACAGAAAATAGTTAAATAAAAGTAAATCCAGGTGGCCGGCCTAGGGCCTGCGCTGGCCCTGGGACCAGCCATGGAACCTTCCAGCTACCCGCAAAGGCCCCCCTGGCCGGGCCAGGCGAGGGAGGATGGGGGACCAGGCCTGTCGGCCCCCCACCCTGCGCCCATCCCCTCACAAAGGAGACCGGGGTGGGAGAAGGTGGCCGTTCCCCTCCCGGGGAGGGGGGGGCAAAGAGCAGAGAACTTGCGTACTTTTAAACATGCGGCATTTCGTGAGTATGGACAGGAACAAGAGAATACAGGGATGCCTAGGTCTAGACTGCTTCAGCTACATCCGGCCAAGTTCCTCACCTTTGGTGTTGGTGGGTTTTTTGTTTTTTTTCATTTTGTTTTGTTTTGTTTTGTCGTCCACTTGGTTTGCATGCATCACCAACAAAAAGGAAACACACCCCCTCCCGTTCCGGCTGCTGCACAGGGCTCGGGCGGACTGGCCAGCTCTGGGGGAGTCGAGGGGCGCTCAGGGGCACTACGAGGGCGTGACTGCCTGCACACGCCCAGCCCTCAGCCAGCCCCACCTCTGTCCCGTCACACGTCCTCGAACCCCCACGCTCACCGCTTGCACCCTCAATCCCTGCCTCCCCGGGGCTCCACGGCCCCACTTCTGCCACCGACTCCTTCCACCACCTCCCTGCCGCGGCAGCGCCTGCTGCCCTCGGCGTGCCCTGTGCCCGCCTTCCCTGAAGGCCACCCTGTGTGGCCGCGGCCCCTTGGGCTCCCTCCATGCCCCCTGAGGTCCTCAACTCACCCCCCAAGCTGTGGCCAGTCTCCAGCCCCGAGGGCTGGCCCCGAGGGAGGAGGAACGCCCCCAGAGCCCACCTTTGGGGCTTGGCCCCCAGCCCCAGACGCCCGTGCCCACAGGCGGTCAGGGGCTCCACCGCAAGCAGCTAAACATGACTTTGGTAAAAGTTTCTGAAGGTACCGACAAACCCCGTGAGAACAAGGTCTTCTCCCCCCACCCCCCAAACACCCCACCAAGTACAATAAAATACAATAAACTCCAAAAAGGACCCCCTGAGATCAAAGAGAGACAGAGAAAGACAGAGAGAGAGAGAGAGAGAGAGAGAAAGACCAGCCCAGGTCCAGCTGTAGTCATAACGCCCAGCCCGCCTTCCTGGGGCGAAGACACCAGCCGACCGACTCGCCGTTGCTGGAGACCTAAGTGGACCCAGGGGTCCCCCCCTCACCCCTGGGGGTGGCAGAGCCCAGATCTGGGCCAGGAGAGAGGCAGAGGCAGAGGCAGGGAAGGAGGTGGGGAAAGCCAGAGAGGTACACGAGGGATGAGAGAGGGGATAGACACAAGGAACGTGTTTGCAGAGGGGAGGCAGAGGGGACAACACACAGCGGGTGGGGTGGGGAGGGAAGGGGCAGGACGGGCGGCTCTCTCCCGGGCCCTGGGGGCCGCCCCAGCCCAGAGGTTACGACTGAATAAATAGCGAGTCTGCTCGTGGCCTGCTGTCTTCCGTTCACAGTGTCTGTCAGGGGGACGCGCACGGCCGGCTGACCCCGGGACGGGAAGGGCTGGGGCCTGGCGAGCCCATCTGTCCACAGCTGGTGGGCAGGGAGTCGGGGGTGGGTCGGCGCCCCCTACTTTCTGTCCTCAGCCCTCAGCAGCCATCCAGATCCCAGGTCTCCCCTGGCGGGCAGCTGGCTGGCCAGGTGGGGAAGGGGGGGCCTGTGGCCATGCCCCCGGCCCCCGGTGGGGCTGGCCGCCACCACGTGGCTACCTGAAGAAGGGCAGGTGGTGCTGGCTCAGGACTCCGCTAGTCCTCGGTGACTCGGTCTTCGCCATGACATCCTTGAACCAGGATGCCACGTCTACCTCCAGCATCTCGTAGCGCTTGATGAAACTGTGTTCCTGCGGGCCCGAGGGGTAGGGCTTAGGACCAGGGAGGAGCCCCAGCGGGGAAACAGGCCCCTGGATGTCCAGATGGGGTGGGGGGGGGGGGGGGGGGGGGGGGGGGGAGGGGAGGCAGGGGCCCCAGATACTCACAAGTAGCTTATTATACTTTGGTCTCTTCCTGTGATCCTTAGTAAGGCTAACAGAGGAGAGGGAGGAAACAGAAATCAGAGCTTGGGAAGAGGGGCCTGGCTGTCCCGGGGACACAACTGTCCTCCCTCTGAGACAGGGGTCTTCAGAATCTGGAGGGAAGCGGCTGCTGTGTGTTCACAGCCCTGTGCTGCTGGCTGAGAAGCCAGAGGACCCAGGGCCTGCACAAATCCCACCTGCGGCGGAAGCCCCACCTGGGCTGGGAGGGGCCCACGGGAGAGGTGGACTGGGGCTCTCCCGCACGACAATCAAATGGGGACGCCACACGGGCATCATTCTGCTTGTCGCCGCGGGACACACAGACCCCTAGGCCCCGGGGCACATCGGCTTGTTCACAACCTCCTGTGGCCAAGCCCGAGGGCCATCCTGCCAGTTGCCCACAGGGCCAACTCGGGCCTCGGGTTCCAGCTGCCGCCCACATCCCCACCCTGACTGCAGCCTTCTCGCCCACGGCTGCCCCCACCCCCCATCGGGGAGGGGGGGCGTCCCACCAGCCCCAAATCTCCCTGGCTGTTCTGAGCGCAGGGCCACACCTGACCCCGCCCTGCCTCCCAGAGCACAGCACGGGGGGGTGGGGGGGGTGGGGCTCCTCACCAGTCTTTGACGAAGGACTGAAAGTCCCCCGAGAAGCCCATGTGACCGGGCAAGAGCGGGGGCTCTTCCTGCAGGACTTTGGTGAGGACCTCAAAGTCTGTCTTGCAGTTCTTGTAGGGAAACTGTCCCGTCGCCAGCTCCACCTAGGAGAGAAGCAGGCGGGCTGGGTGGGCCGAGGACTGGTCCCCGCCCTCCCTTACCGCCCTCGTCTGTATCCCAAGAAGACGCTGGCAGGGGCCCCGCAACTCACCAAGGAGATGCCAAGGCTCCACACGTCGGCCCGGATGTCGTAGTCTGGCTTGGTGGGGTCCGGAGGGTCTATGCGCTCAGGCTGCCGGTGGGAGAAGGGGACGATGTACCCCCAGGGCTGCGGCAGGCGTGCCGCCCAGATCCCCACGCTCGCCCGCCGGGGCGCCGCCAGACCCCCACTCACTGCCATGTAGGCGGCACAGCCCGCGCTGCGCGTCTTGGCCTTGGAGTCGACGAGACGGCCGCTGATGCCGAAGTCGCAGAGCTTGATTTGGCCCCGCTCGTCCAGAAGGATGTTGGAGGGCTTGACGTCACGGTGGATCACGCCGTGCTTCTCCTTCAGGTAGTACAGCGCCTTCACGATCTGCGGCGAGGACAGCGGAGGGCACCCGTGATGGGAGGATGGGGGCCCAGGGGCCACCCGCCCGGCCGCACCCCTGTCGGGCTGCTCACCGCCACCGTCATCTTGCCCAGGATCCGCTCGGGAATGGGGCCCTGCACCCGCTTCTTGAGCTTCTCAGCGCACGTGCCCATGAGCTCCATGGCGATGAAAACATCCGTCTGCGGGGGCGGCATGTGCCGGCTCGGGGGGCAGCCGCACCCTCCGGCCCACCCCACACAGCCCAGCAGCAGGGGGCACACCCGGAGACCAGCAAGGACACCTGGGGAACCCACAGAGAGGCAGGGGAACACCAGAGGCCTGGACTCACATTAGTGATGAAGGTCCCGAAACACTGCACGATGTAGGGGCAGTCGTGGCTCTTGAGGACCACGTCCAGGTCCATGAGGATCCGCTTGTTCTCCTCCTTGTTCCCCGAGCGCCGCATTTGCTGCACGGGACGGCCGGGGGAGCCTTAGTGCCCGGTCTCGGGGCGGGGCGGGGCGCCCGCTGGGGACGGGGGCGGGGCTCACCTTGACGGCAATGACATGGCCCGTCTTCCTGAAGCGCATCTTCCACACCTGGCCGCAAGTGCCGCTGCCCATCTCGCCCAGGTTCTCCAGATCGTGGATTTCTGCCTGGTACCGCTGTCGAAGACAGCCAGAGCTGGAGGCTCTGCCGGGTCTCCGCCTGCCCCTGACAAAGACCTAGCCCCGCCACGTGTCCTGCCCGCCCCCCAGGGGTCAGGGCGAGGTGGTACCTGGCCCCCGATGGTCAGGTAGCCCGTCTGCTTCATAATCTCCTGTAGCTTCTGGTCAATCTCGATGCTGAGGGAACAGGGAGGAGGTCCCGGTGGAGGAGGGTCCCAACCAAACTGAGGCCACCCCAGTCCCCGTCACACAGGGGTTCCCACAGATTTCACCCCCCTCCTCCCTGGGGCGGGCAAAGCGGCCTCCCCACACTGACCTCCTGACCCCCGCACTGGCCAGCTGGCCCCATTCGACAGCTCACCTCTCCATGCTGCGGGGTGTGAACAAGGTTGACGGAAGCCCCAGCATGTGGCGGGGCCGGGCAGGGGGTGTGGGGTGCTGTGGGGAGCTCTCGGAGGACGGTGAGCGGCTGCCCCCCCCATTGGCCGGCGGGGGGGGGGGGGGGGGGGGGGGGGGGGGGGTGAGAGCCAGGGGTGAGAGGGGTTAGCTGGCACTGTGGGGTCTTCGGGGGACTCCGGTCTTCCCCTCCCTGGCATCAGGTAGGCCAACACAGACATGGGCTGGAGGAGCTAAGGTCTCCCTCCCACCCCCAACCACTCTCAGGGTGCCTTCTCCTGCCCCCCTGACCTGGAAGAAGATGGAGTGGGCTGGCAGGGAGGGGTGGTCCCCAGAGGCTGAGGGATTGTCCCCAAGTGTATGCTGACACAGGATCAAGGCCCAGAGGCTGATGGCACCCTTCAGCCAAGCAGTCTTCCTTATGTGTCCCTTTCTGCCCCACCTCTGCCCAGGAGCAGGCCCAGGGCCACGGTGCCCACGCTCCGGACCACGTGAGGAAGGAACGCCCGCCAGGATCAGCCTGGGCTCTGGCCCTGTTGGGAGCACTGCACGTGGCTGCCCAATAAGAATCAAGCAGGCCACCCCAGGGAGACAATGAGCGAGGGACGCAAGCTTCCAGCTGCCTTGCCGCACATTCTGTTCCAGGGTCAGGGAGGGCCATCCTCTAGCCAGCAGGCTCGTTTCTGAGCCTCCCAGCTCGGCCTACAAGGCTGGGGCCAACGGGTGGGGGTAGGACCCCAGGCTGGGCCTGTGTCCTTTGGGTGAGGGGATCCAGGCGGCACAGCCCCTCCAAGGGCTGGTGGGACGGGAGGTGGGGAATGGGCCAGGCAGCGGGGTTTGGTTCTTCTCAGCAGCCTGCATGCGGACAGCTTGGGCATGCTACAGGCAGGCAGGCAGGCGGCGGGCAGGCAGCGGTCACCCCAGGATGGGCAGGCGGCATTCGGGGATCGGGAGGGCAGGAGACAGACAGACAAATGGGAGCCAAGACTTGGAGCCCAGCTGCCCAGGAGGCACTGCAGAGACAGGCCAGACAGGGGCCCGGGACAGGACAGGAGGCTCTCTGAGGGGCTAGAATCCTCCCTGGCTGGGCTGGCAATAGGGTCGAGGAGCAGAGACCGGTGTGGTCCCTGGAGAAGACACATGACCCTCCACTGAACCCTCATACCCCCAGAGGCCCTGGAAGTGCTCCAGAAGGGGTCCCTAGCTGGGTAGGGCACTGGCTCCACGAGCTAAGGGGCCAGAAGAGGACGTTTCGTGGAGAACGGCCAGGAGGCCTGGGGCCTGCCGCCCTGCCCCTGGCCTCCCCCCGCACCCCACCTACACCTCCTGCCACGGCCCACCCCTTCCTCCTCCAGTTCTGTAAGCACCTGGTGATGTGGGCCCAGTGACCAACGTCCAGAGACAAATACGCCTGAATTGCTGGCATCTGGGCACTTTCCCTGCCCTGCCAGCCTGGGACCCTGACCACATCTAGAGTGAGGGGGCAGGCATGTGACCCTTGCCTACAATTGAGAATGGGACGCGGGTCTTGCTAAGGGCTGGTAAGAGCAAAGGAAAGGCCCTGGGGACCAGTGCCCATCAGCCTGCACTGGCCTGGGGGCCTGACCTCCTGGGCCCCCTCCCTGCTGTTCCAGCCCCTTGCTTTGTAATCCCCTACTTCATTACACTGCCACGGCCAGAGGCAGAATCCTCATCCCTCCCTCCCTGGCCCAACCACCTCAGGGACACTTGAGGGCCCCCCATGCTGTCCCTGTACCTGGGCTCTCGGGAGACACTGCCAGGCTCTCACCCCCTGGAGGATATCTGGGCCCCCTTTCTGCCCTGCACTGTCAGGTGTGTGGGGTGAGGACCACACCCTACCCCCTCCGTACTTCTCAGGGGGGTGCAGACGCTTCCTGGGGCCCCTCAGACTGAAGCATGGTGGAGATCTGAGTGGGGCCAGTGTGGGGTGGCTAAGGTGGGGGGAAAGGGGCAGGTACACAAAGGCCCTGAAAACAGAGGTCACAGAGGTGGGGACAGGCCACGCGGCAGGTCAGGAGGGCACAGTGAGAGCAAGAGGCTGAAAGAGAGAAAAAGAGAGAATGAAACAGAACAAGAGAGGGCATGAAAGCACATGGCCAACAGGAGCCACAGATGTACTAGGCTGCCAGCCCAACACATGTGCACTCACGTGCACACACACACACACACACACACACACACCCCCCACACACGTCTGCTCCCAGACCCACCGGCAACGCACTCAGGCCTCAGCTGGCTGCCTTCTCTACCTTCCTTCACATGCTCCCCACCTCCCATGAGACTGCGCTCAGATCGCAGCTTCTCCAGAGGCTTCCCCAACTGGGCCCCCGCTGCAGAACCCCAACCCAGCTCTACTCTGCCTTTTCTGCAAGGCATCACCGCTTTCTCCACTTCTCCCAGACCAGGAGGATGCTCCCTGTCAGGGAGCGTCAGCCGCAGAAGGAAGGGGCCTTGGTCCATATTCTGTCTGCCGCCGTGTCCCTAGCACCTAAAACAGACACGGCACGCGGCAGGCAATACATGTTCGCCGTACTGTCGGAACGGACCAACAGATGTAGCCCGATGGCCTTGGCCCCGCTTTCCCTCTTGTGCGCGCGCACGCGCGCACACACACACACACACACACACACACACACACACGTGATCTCTCACGGGTGGCAGACTCCTGGCCGGTGAAGGAGCCCATTTCCTCTTCAGGGGAGTCCAAACCTGAGCTCACCAGGAAGGGAGGAGCGGAAGGTGAGAGAACACAGAAGAGGCCAAGTGGGCCGAACATCACTGATCACGGATCGGGTGGAAGGACAGAGAGTAAGAGTGACAGGCGCGGGCACGCACACACACACCGCACACACAGCATGGGGCAATGGGGGAGGGCATTCTGCGGCCGGGGCAGCGGTTAGGTCAATGGTGCAGATGTCCAAGCGGCAATGATAAAAAGGCTGGTACCTGCTCGTTGGGACGGGGCAGGAGCAGGGCTTAGAGTGATCACAATAACTGGATGGGGAAAAGGAAGAAAAAAAACAACACCACGATAAATCACAACAGAAACAACTGATGTGTCCAAAAGAAAAGAAATCAAATCATAACAAGGAAGAGGGGGAGGCGCGAGGCACCAAAGTGCAGAGACGGGTAGAAACCACAGAGGTGGGAGGACCAGGAGGATGACACAGACACAGACGCCTGGAGGGGGCTCCTCGGGGGCCTGCCCACCACGGGCCTCACCGTACCTCACTCTGCACCTGGGACAGCCACCCCGTAAGGCACCGCAGGCCCCATGCCCAGCCCTGTCTCATCCAAGCTGGGGCTGCGGGAGGCAGCATCGCAGAGCCCAGCAGGGACCCTCCGGTGTCGGGAGGGTATCTGCCCCAGGGAGGAGCCCACACTACCCCAGGTCAGAAGAGGAAGGGAGGAGTGGACTGCACACAGGGATGGTGGGGGCACTCAGGCTGTGAAGGTCAGGCTGGGTGAGCAGGGAGAGACTGGAATACCCCGATGTGGGCGCATGTCCCCCTCCTATCAGGATGACCCCACGGGGAGCTGCATAAGCTACATGGATCGCGGAAGAATCACAAAGGAGGGCCGGGTGTTAGCTCAAGAGAGCGGGGTGCTCCTCATCAGGTCTGGGGGGGAGGGTGAAGGCCTCATGCCCTCCAGCTGAGAGATTTGGGGAAGGGGTTCTGTGGGACAAAACAAAGAGACTAGACAGTGGTAGTGTCATGGCAATCCCTGGCCAGGTGTTGAGTGCCAGGGAGAGGCAGCTTTTGACTCCAAACAATAAGATGCCAGGCAGGTAGTCACAGAGACGGTGGGATCAGAGGTGAGGTGTACATGGGCTGGGATAGCACCACACTGGCCTCAGGTATCCCTAGGCCAGGTGAATGTGGGTGTGCAGGAAGTCACTTGAGTCCAGGTGACGACGTTGCCAGGCTGGAGGCTGGGTGTGTGTTTTCGGAAAGGCCAGACAGTCGCCAAGATGAAGTAGGAGGGGGCCTGGTGTATGTGGGTAGGGTGTGTGCGGGAGGGGGTCTGCGAGGCCGAAGGACAAGGTCCCAGCCTAGTAAAAAGGGATCACCAGACACAGTCACAGAAAAGGGAGATCAGAGGAATAGGGGGTTATATGTGGTCAAATAATCTCAGGTGTCAGCCGGGCCAAGTGTGCGTGTATGAATGCGAGTGGACCATCCACTGAACCATATGACAAGGACCCAGGTGCAGAGGTCGGGAGAAGGGGCCCCCCGCCAGTCACTGAGATGGCAGGAGTGAAATCATCTGGTCGGAAGGGACGTGTACATGTTTGCGGGGGATCTGGATGTGATCACAGTCGCTCGGATTAAGGGGAGCCCGGCTCCTAGAGTACGTGACGGTGACACGGGCTCCGAGGATCACGGTGAGGGGGCGGGTCATCAGATGGGGAGGCCTTGCCCTAGGGCCGGGTGACTAGGCTCATAGGCCCCGTAAGGGGGATCCCCCTAGGCTGGGGGAGGGCCGCCCGGGAGCCCGCCGGCCCCACGCCCCCCTGGGTCACCGTGACCCTCTCCCCGCGAGCCGACAGCAGGGGGTATAGGGTGGAGAGAAGGAGGAGCAAGAGCGCCCCGGAAGCGAGGGCGGGGCCTGACGGCGGGGGCGGGGCTTCCCGCGGCGCGCGCCCCGCCCGCCCGCCCCCTCCCCCACGCCGCCGTGCTTACTGGGCCTGGGCCGCTGGGGGCTGATATCCAGGTTGAGGTCGATCCTCCGCCGGGCCTCGCGGTTCTCCTGCTTCAGCTTTGCTTCCAGGCGGGACAGCTTCTGCTCCAGGGAGGACGCCGCCATCTTCCCCGCCGCCGCCGCGCACCGCCCGGCCGCCCGTCAGTCCGGCAGACAAACACCGCACTGCGCCTGCGCCTGGATGACCCCGCCGAGCCGCCGTCTCTCCCTGCACGGCGCATGTCCGCGGCGCGCACTCGCCCATCCCTCGTGCTAACCTCCGCGCATGCGTGCTTCTTCCCGGCCGGAGAGATGACGCCACCTAGAGTTCGCGTCGGACAACGTGCAAAGCCGCTCATCGTGATGCGCATGCGCGGAGTCGGAGCCCTTTCTCGAGAGGCGCTGTGTTGAAATCCATTCACGGTTCTGCAGACCGCGGCAGGCGGGGAAAGCGGCGCGCCTGCGTGCAGAGGGGTAGACGCAATCCCGCGCTTTGCCTTTGCTGCGCATGCGCAGCCTTGGCTCTTTCCGCGGCCGCTGTTGCTGGGAGTAGCTCTTGCTATGTGTCCTCAGCCTCGTTTTCGCTGTTCCCCGCCCGGCCTGTTCTCTGGCACCCACGCTCCCTCAGGACTGCCTTTCTCTTACGGGACAGTGTTTCATTAGGATCGCTGTTATGCCTAATTGCTGCCTCCTCCCCATAATTAGGCACCCGTGGGGAGCCCTTTCTATTTCAGCAAACTCGGGGGTGGCTAAGGACCGGCGGGAGGGACGGGGTAGGGCTCAGGTCACTGTAGCGGCCTTAGGAGTCCAGCGGCATGACCCCTGACCTCGACCACAGGGCCAGGGTCATGGCCAGAGAGTTCCAGGCCAGACCCACCTGGGACATTTTAAGACGTTCCCTCATCTTCCCGCCCCGGGATGTGAGCCCAGCGTCTGGACAGTGCAGTAGATGGGCTTTGGTGTTAATGCCCCTCAGCCTGTCATCCTCGCGGCTTAACTGGCATGGTGGGTGCCGGGAAAACGTCCCCATCTGCAGTCCTGGTTTTCGGAAAGCAGCTTGTCTCTGCTCTCAGTTGCCAGGAAGAGGCTCACATTTTGCAGACATCTCGAGGTGTCCAGTCCCAGGAAGTCAGGGTCAGGCAGGCTGTGCCATACGCCCTGCCTACTCCCGGGCCCGCACGGGATCACTGGTGGGCATTGAAGGCTCGTGGGGACTCCTATGGTGACAACTTACGGGTGGAACAGATAAAAGACTGGAGTCCGGAGAATAACAAGGAATGGAGAGGAAAAGGGGTTCTCCAGGAAAAAAGCTGAGCAGAAGACGCCACCTGATTTCTCCTGCTGAGGTCTGTCTTTGCTCCCAGGACGGATCTCATACCCTTCATTCTGGCACGTTAGTGTCACTGCTTGCCTGTCATTGGTCTGGATGAAATGGAAGGCTTAGACAACAGGAGTGGATACCAGAGATCAGAATTTTAGTTCTCCTAGTATTATTTATTAACCACCCACTGATAGATGCTCCCTCACACAGAGAACATTTGAAAGACACAAAGTCCCTGCCTGTTCTCAGAAACGTGTAAATTCCACAGCAGGTGTTCTTAACCCTGGAGTCTGCTATCCTTAGGATGTCCGTGAATGGCCCTCTGGGAAATCTGGGGGAATCTGTTGCCGGCCTGAAGTAGCTTTGGAATTTTGCATGTGTGTGTACATTTTCCTGGGCAAGGAGGTGCCCAACTTTTATAAGATGTTCAAAAGTCCTAGGTCTTCAAAAGGGTTCAGAACCCCGGCTCTGAACATCCAGATTCTGTAGGTCAGCGTTTCCCAACATCCAGGCCTAGGACCACCCGCATCAGAATTACCTGGGATGCTGATTTACAGACAAGTTCCTGGCCTCCAGCCAGACCTGAGTCAGTCTTTCAGGGGTGGGGCCTGGGATGTTTTGTTCTGGGGCTGTTGATTTTGATGCAAGGCCAAACATGAGGACCATTTTACTGAGTTCACGTGTCCATAGCAAACAACTTATAAATAAGGGATTGGCATCAAAGTTGGGGGCAGGGGTCGCTGGTCCCTTGTGTCTGTGTCCCCTCCTTGGGAGAGAACCGCAGATGTAAGCTGTTTGGGTTGGGGGAGAAAGGGTTGAAATCCCATTGGGATGTGCCTCACCCCCACATACGGCACTAATTGAGCTAGAATGTCCGGGGGGAGGGCAGGACAGCCAGCCAAAGACACAGGTGTGCTTTTGGTCTGAGACTCCTGTGACTGAGTTGATCCCTCTACGACGGTCCACCCCAAATCCACAGCCTCCTGTCTCTTCTCGGACAAACCAATCCCAGGATCTTGTCTGGACCCTCCCCTCCGCCCGCCCGCCCGCGGCCCCCCCCCAAGGCTGATGTGTCTGCTCCTCGTCTCCTGGCCTGGGCCCTGTCGGCCACCTCGCTTGAAGACGATAGTAGAGATTCTGGGGTGGAAGCATCCAGAAGGCCTCTACCCCAACCTGCCCCACCTTTCGCTTCATTCCTCCTCCATTTTTTCCCGCACCTCCGCTGGCAGGCCCTCGTAAAGGGTGTCCTCCACCAGGAGCCCCACTCTCTTGAGCCCCACACAGTTGCCAAGTTCTTCTGGCAGAGCCTCCAAGCGGTTGCCCTTGAGCTCCAGGCGGCTGAGGGCCCTGAGGGCCCCCACCTGGGGCGAGAGCTGGCTCAAGTGGTTGTAGCCCAGGAGCAACGTCCGCAGCTTGCGGCAGAAGAAGAGCTCCTCCGGCAGGGCCTCCAGGGCGTTGTAGGACACCGCCAGGTGCTGCAGGCTCTGGAGGAGGCCCAGCTCGGGCGGCAGGGAGCGCAGCCCGTTGTGGGAGACGTCCAGCAGGCGGAGGCCAGAGCAAAGGCCGAGCTGGGTGGGCAGGGTCTCCAGCTTGTTGTGGCCGAGGTAGAGCTGCTCGAGGCCCCGGAGCTTGCGCACGTGCTCGGGGACGTAGGCGATCTGGTTGTGCCATAGCCTGAGCGTGACCAGCTTGCGACAGTGCTGGAAGCTGAGGATCTCTTCGATGGACCGCAAGCGGTTGTCCTTGAGGTCAAGTTCCTGCAGCGCCCCCAGGCTGAAGATGGCATGGGGGATGCGCTCCAGCCCGCAGGCCACCAGCTCCAGCTCCCGCAGCGCCGCCAGCTTCTTGAGGCTGTTCAGGGCCAGCAGGCGGGCCCCGTCGTTGTGCAGACTAAGCCGCTGCAGATGCCCGGCCACGTCGGTCACGCTGGCTGGCACCTTGCTGGCATTGCTCCGCAGAGACAGCACCTTGAGCTGCTTCAGCTCCCGGAGGCTCTCGAGGGTCGCCGCCCGAGCCAGCTCCGGGGGGAAGAGCCCCTCGAGGTGCAGCTCCTCCAGGCCACGCAGCCCGAACACCCACAGGGGCACCTCGCGGAGCTCCTCACACTTGACCCGGATGACCTTCAGGCGGTCCCGCAGGAAGATCTGCGAGGAGAAGGGCAGCCGGGCGGGCGAGTGAAGCAGGCTGAGCTCTTGCAGGTGCACCAGCTGCGAGAGGCCCGGGGGGAAGGTGATGTCGCAGATGGCCTCCAGCCGGAGCGCCTCCACCTCGCTGAGCTCGAAGACGGTGTCGGGCAGCCCCGGGAGCATGCAGAGGGCCAGCTCGAGCCGGCCGCGGGCGTTGCGCTGCAGCTTCTGCCGCAGCTTCTCGGGCGTCCACTCGTGGTTCAGGTTGAGCTGCTTCAGGCGGCTCTCGCTGACCTCGGAGAGGAAGACGGCAAAGCGCTTGGAGTAGAGGGAGTCATACTGGTCGATGAGGTGCAGCATGAAAGCAAAGTCGTTCTTGACGTCGGGGATGTCACCCATGCCCGTCTCCTCCCGCACAGAACGGAAGGAGTACTCCTTGAGGGGCCGGTGGAAGAGCCAGTAGAGGGTGTAGAGACAGGTGATCCCGTAGACGCACACGAAGGAGATGTAGCAGAAAGCCAGCTTGGAGAAGAGGTGGGCCTTCGTGTGGTTGCAGCAGAAGCTGGCGTAGCCCGTGACCTCCGAGGTCTCCACCCTGCAGGCCACCAGGAAGCTGATCTTCTCCACGTAGACCAGGTTGTAGACCAGGATGGCAAAGAACTTGCAGACTTTGAGCACCGTCTGCCGGATGTACATGGTGTACAAGATGTCCCCCTCTTCCACGTGCACGCGGAACTTCTTGACCTTCTCAAACAGGGCTTTGGCCTGCTCACCCTCCTTCTTGTCCAGTAGGGTGACGGCTGGTGGCTCAGTCACCACCTTCTCGGGCTCCACCAGCACCTTTTCCTTCTCACCCTCATTGGCTTTTCCCGGCCCCGCCGAGGCCTCCACTGTCGCCGTCGCCCGCCCGGTGGTGGGGCCCTTCTGGTTCTCCCCAGAGACCTCGGACAGGGCCCGCGTGGTCCACGGAGAGTCGAAACACTTGCCCAGAATGGAGATGAAGTGCTCGATCTTGGAGCTGGTGCCGGGGAACTTGAACCAGAAGCTGGTGCAGACCATGAAGATGAGCGTGTGAATGACGACCAGGTAGGGGAAGTACTTGGCGTACCAGTGGAGGGCTGTCTCGTAGCAGAGCTGGTTAATGAAGCTGTACTGCTGGAGGTCCAGATTGTTTTTGAGGCCGCTTACCTCCCGGAGGCCCCCCATCTGCTCGGAGACGCCCCGAGGCAGCAGTTGCTGGCAGGGGGCCTCTGAGAAATTCTCCCGGAGTTCGTGACTGGGCAGACAGATGATCTTGTCCTGTGTCACCTGGGAATGAGGGGGAAAGAGGGCCAAGGAGCTGGGATGGCCTGCACGGTTGGGGGCAGAAAGGCAGGCTGAAGGTGGGAGACCCCAATCCCTGACTGTCCCCAGCGGGCTGTGACTTTGGAAGAGTCACTAAACTTCTGAGAATCAATCTTTGTCTGAAAAAAAGGAGTTAGGTTGAATTGCATCTTCCTTCTCCCTCCGGCGCCCACCCCCCCTCCCCCCCCCGCCGAAAGATACTGACCTCCTAATCCTTAATACCTGTGGACAGATAGTCTTTGCAAAACAGATGTGATCAAGTTAAGGTGGGGTCATTAAGGTGGGCTCTAATCCAGTGCGACCGTGTCCGTATAAAAAGGAGCCATTTGCACAGAGACCCGTGCGCAGAAGGGAGATGAAAGAAGGCCTGAGGCCACCAGAAGCCAGGTGAGAGGCATGGGACACATACATGCTCCCTCACAGCCCGTAGAAACACACAACCCTGTCAACCCTTTGACCTCACACGCTCAGTCTCCGGAACTGTGGGATCAGAGCAGGTAGCCCTCCGGAATATCCGAATATCCGGGCTGCGACCCCACACGCCCCGCCTCTCCGACCCGCTCAAACAGGCCCCGCCCCTGTAGGTCCCGCCCCCCCATAGGCGGGCCACACCCGGGCCCCGCCCCCTACGTGCCCCGCCAACTGCCCGCTCATCCGGGCCCCGCCCCTCTCCACGCACCCAGGCCCCAACCCCTGCAGGCCGCGCTCCATCCAGGCCCCGCTCCTGCCTCGCGCCTCACCTGCAGGGTGCAGCCGAAGACCCCGATCATGAGCATAGCCACGGTGAGGTACTCCGCCAGCACGTCCCACCAGGGTTTGAGCACCTTGAACGCGGGCTGCTGCTCCGTGAACTGCTTGAACTCGGCCACCGGAATCATCTTTCCTATGGGAGACGAGGAGGCAGGGGTTGCAGAGACCCTCAAGAAGGGGCGTCTGGTGGTGGACCCCCAGAGGAGCCAGACACACGCCTCTGCTCCCAGTTTGTGCTCTGCCCTGCCCGAATCTGGCAGAAGGCACGAGCTGTGTGCCCCCTCTCTCCCCCAGACCTCACCTCCTTCCTGAAGCCAAGCTACTACCGGTCTCACCACATCTGCTCCCCGGGATCCCTGCCCCCCCTCTGACGCCGCTCGCCCTTTCAGAGGTCAGGAAGGGCAGTCCACGGAGCCGCTGTCCCCCAGCTTGCCCGAGTGGCCTTCTCCCAGAACCCAGCCATCTCCCACCCTTGATGACGAGCCCAAACCACTCGCTCTGCCGCTCTGACTCCAGACACCTGCTGTCCGGACCGCTAGCCTCTGCTGTCTCTGCCACTGGGCCAGAGAGAGCGTCTGAGGCTGAGGACTTCCGGGGTGTGGGCCCCCCACCCCCTTCAGGGGCGCTCCGGGCACCACCTCCAACCTCCAACCGGAAAAGCCGGCTGGAGCCTGGCTCTGGTTACAGGGCCTGAGGGGCAGGGAGGGGCAAAGCTGAAGGCTGGTCAGTGGAGGGGAAGGAGGACTAGAACACCTGGGTTTCTAGAGGGATCGGTGCCCAGAAACTGAGGCAGATGACAGAGAAACCCGGGCTCTGACTGGGAGGGTGGGGGGTCGCCAGGATGGCCGGAGGGCAGAGGATCAGGAAATGGAAAACTCAGGGACAAAGCCAGAGTGACACCTACTGTCTGGGCTGGGGCTGGGCTCTCAGGCTCCTGGGCGGCCAGCCCGCTCTGTCTGTCCCTGGGTTTCACTTTAGACCAAGGTATCATTATTTCAGATACGGGACAGCTAGGAGCGAGTCACGTGGGGGCATGGGCCACAAGCTGGGACATCACCCTCCCAGAACAGGCAGCTGGGGAGCCTCCCTCCCCCTCTCCCGGAGGCTGGACGGAAGGAAAGGGAGGCCGCAAGGCCCCCACTGCCTTTTGAGGGGGCTCCCAGGCCGGACTGCCTCTCACAGCACCCTGCCTCCCTTTGCAGTCCCCAGGTCCCTGAGGCCTGGGGTTGACTCCCGGGCGGGGATGAGGTAGAGACGGACAGGGATGCGGGCTGTAAGCCCTGCCCACCGGGCTGAGGGCGAGGTAGTCCACCACACCTTCTAATCCCTTCAAAGGCCCTCACATCGGGATGGCAGGGGCAGGGCCCCCCCCTGACTCAGGCCCTGACTCACCCAGAGCCGGGCACAGGCAGGGGGTGCACAGACAGAGCACGGGCTCCCTCCCACAATGCCCCATTCCTCACTCTCAGTTTGATGCCCTGTCCTAAAAGAAAAGCTGAGTAGAAGTGCCCCAGCCTATCAGTGCCGTCAGCCAGCCGGGAATCTTAGCAGCAGCACCCTGGGGGCCACATGAACAACGTAGCCACCAAAAGGGACACCTGGGGGCATTCTGGAGTGTGCATACGGATGCAGGTGGGTACCCGGAGCCGTATACACTGGGCTGAGGGGAGACCCAGGACCTGTTCCAGCCAGCCACCGTTCTCCCTGCCCCGGGTACCTGTGAGGGACACGGCTCCGCCGTTGGGGCTGCGACAGAAATGCCACGTACACAGGCGAGGACCAACTTCCTGCCTGGGTCCATCTCGCAGTGGCGGAAGCTGCAGTATCCACCAGGTCAAGACTACAATCAAAGGCAAGACGGCGGCGACGCCGAGGGTCCCCAGTGGATGGCCCAGTGGCTCCCACGGAACAAGGTATATACACAACGCCATCAGAGGCAGACACTGGGGTTATCATTATCTGTCTCCATGACTCAAACTCGATGGTCTGAACCTGCCATTAAGCTTCCACAGACACAAGGCCGGCCCCCCCCCCTTTGTCTGAGCAGGGCTGGCGGGAGGGCCCTGGGCAGAGGGCTCCAGGGATGGGGAGCCCGGAGGCAAACACCAGCACGGCCATACGCAACTTATGGCCACCAGATGCTTCCGGTGCCTCCTTTAATCCCCACTCTGGGGGACGGAGGGCACCACACCCTCATTTTCCAGACTCAAGGGGAGGGAAGGAACCAGCTGAAGCTTTCACAGCTACAAGCGGTATGTGAGGCGTGAGTCCCAAGTCTCATCTGTCCCCTAGCGCCCTGTCTGCTTCATCTTGGGTGAGAACCTCTCGCTGGGATGCAGCATCTTTGCCAAAAGGAGACCGGAGGAGAGTGTTCTAGCAGAGAATGTTCTCGCAGAGAAAAGATGGGCGGAGGGCTGCTCTGCAGGGCAGGCCCTGGGGGTTCTGGCCGGCCTGGGACCGGGTCGTGCCCCCTACCTAGCCTCAGCTCTGCTATCCATGCCTCACCCCTGCAACTCCCCGCTCAGACCCTCCCTAGGCTCCCAGCTTGCCTCCTGGGGGCAGTGGTGGGTGCTCGGGGTCCAGCCCCCCTCCTCGCCCACAACCCGTGCTAAAGGGCAAGGAGGACACGGGTAACTGTCAGCCCTGAAACGGGCTTTGAAGCACACAGGTCCAACCTTTGACTTTTACACAAGAGAGAAACTAAGGTCGGGGGTGGGGGTAGGGGTCCCCTAGTAGCAGATCTTGGGTCAGGCCCCAGGCCTGGGGACTCTCCACCTAGTACTTTTCCAAGCTGCCCAGCCAGGACTTGGGAGTCAGGGAGTCTTGAGGTTTAATAGTCCCAGGGAGGGCAACTTGGTAGGGACCCCCAGTGGTAGGGTTCTGGGGCGTCCAGGGGAACATGGCCAAGACCCCATGGGGGTCTCCCCCAGCCTGCTGATCTGTCCTTGGCCAGGCTGGCCTGCTCCCTGACAGGCGCCCTAGGTCTGGCCAAGGCCGAGTCTCTCGCCGCCTCCACCCCCTCCCCAGCTCCTTGTGTCCCTGGCGGGCGGGCCGCGGGCTCAGGCGGCAGTGCCGGCGGCACCTGGGGCGGTCCTCACGTGGGCCAGACCCCCACCCCGCCACCCGGTCCCCAGGGACGGGGAGCCTCCTACTCACCGCTCTGGCTGGGACGCTGGGCCCAACTCCTGGGTCCCTGGGAGCGGAGCAGCCGGGACTCCCGCAGAGTTCCCGGGCCAGCCTGGGTGAGTCAGGGCGGGCGGGCGGGACAGGAGCCCGGGAGCCGCCCCGCCCGCCCGCCCCGGGGACGTCTCGGCTCCGCCTCCCTTTGGGTCCTCCCAGGTCGCCCCCTACTCCAGGACGCCAAGGGATTGCGGGAGGAGGGCAATCCGAATCCAGCTCTCCACGACGGTGGAGGGTGAGGGGCGGGCCGGAGGGCAGAGGTCTTAGAACTTTGGGCCGGGCTGCAGCCAGGGAAACTAGGGGGGCCCCCCCGGAGGCGCTGCGTGGCTCCCAAAGCCGGCCCGTGGGCCCCCTTCCAGGATCTAAGCTGTAGAGACCCTGTCAGGAACAGGTGAAGGGCCTCCTCATCCTTGCCCCCAACCCCACCCCAAGGGGCAGCCACCTGGCCTTGAGGCACAACCAAATCCAGAGGAACAGAGTCCAGGGGAAGGGAGGGGGCTTCCCCTTCCTGCTCTGACCACCCAGCCAAGGGAGGATGAGCAGAGTGGGGTGCTTACCTGTCTGGCCCTGCCCAGCCTTGAGACCTTCTCCGGACTTCAGGGGATGGGTAAGCTGCTCCCAGGTCTTGGGGGGCGGCACAAGGGCTGGAAGGCTCTGGGATCTGGGGCTGGAGTCTGGTCTGGGAGGGCAGCTTCTAGAAAGGATGGCTGCCTCCCCACCCCCACTCATCCCTCCCTGGCCGAGAAGGCCTGAGCTGCCTCTTACACTGGCAAAGCACCCTTTCAGCCTGGAGGCATCCGGTGAACTTTGACCCGTTCTGTCTGCAAAACTGAAGGGAGAGGGGACCTTGACAAAGTGGGGGAATGAGACCCCTCCCCCACGGGAGGCTCACGAGTTCACTAGACTGGAGACAGTCCGAGACCCGAGGCTTGAAACCTCGAGGATTGAGACCCCCCCCTAAGCTTGGGTTCCTCTGCGAAGCCCTGTAGTGGGCGCGACCCTTGGAGACCCGGCCTCTTTCAAGTGTCTGTGGGCTCCACCACAGGCAGCTCGAAGACAGACAGACAGACAGACAGACAGGAGGCCCTCTTCTCTCTGAGAGCGCCCATGCCCTGGTCTACAGCTTTATGCCGGGGTGACCATCCTGATACACATGGCTTTGCACACTTGTACAAATCGCCGAGGTCACTGTGACGGCAGCCCCATGACTGCTGTGTCCCCAACCCTTGGGATGGTACCTGGCACACGGGGTGGGGGGGCATTCAGTAAATGACAGGTGGGTGAACGACTGAGGTGTCGTTTTAGGTGCAGACCTTGACACGGGGAATTGGAGGCAAACGGTCCACCCGGAAGGTGATCCCAGGGCGCCCTGGAGGGGGGTGGGTAACTGGGAAGTGACACCGGGAAAGGAAGGAGGCCAGCAGGCATCCGTGAGGGTAAACGGAGCAGGTTCACAGGCAGCTGGGGCTCTGTTCTTCTGGGAGACAGTGGAGGATACACCGCCAAGTTGTCCAACCCAAGGGGCGAGGGGGTTGAGAAGGGCTGACCGTCAGCTCCTGTCAGGCTGCGGGTTGCTCTGGAGAAGGGGGGGGCAGAGGGGACTCTGGGGCACCTGCCACAGGTGTAGACGCCCCAGGAGAACAGCCAGGTCACGGGACACACGTACGCACCACGCCTTCCAGTGATTCTCCCGAAGGACCGTCTGCTTCACACCCCCATTGGTGGCGCGTGAGTGTCCCCCCCCCCCATCGATCACACCCAGCCTTTAAAAAGCATTGTGGTAAAATACCATGACGTAGAACTTACCACTGTCACCGCGGTGAAGTGTGCAGTTCAGCGGCATTGAGTGCACTGACGTTGTTCTGAAACCATTTCCACCGTCCGACTCCAGAATGCTTTTCATTTTCCAACGCCGAGATACTGTCCCCATTAAACCCCGGCCCCGGCCCCCTGCCTCCCGCCACCTGCTGTCTGTCTCTACCAATGTGACTCTCCTAGAGAGCCCGCGTAAGGGGAATCCTACCGTGTTCGTCCTTCCGTGACCGGCTTCTGCCACCGAGCACGCGTTGCCGGGGTCTATCCGTGTTGTAGCAGGTGTCAGAATATCTTTCCTTTTTAACGCTGAAAAATATTCCATTGTGTGGCTGGACCACATTTTGTTTATCCATTCATCTGTCGATGGATCCTCTACCCCTTGGCCGTCGTGGATAGTGGTGCTCTGAACCCAGGGGTGCAAATATCTCTTCAGGTTCCTGCTTCCCATTCTTTGGGGTGGGATTGCTGGATCGTATGGGAAGTCTGTTTCATTTCTTCGAGGAAACCACCGCCCCGTCTTCCACAGCGGCTGCACCTGCACCATGTTCCCACCAACCGTGCACGAGGGCTCCCATTTCTTCACATCCTCACCGACACTTGTTATTTAACACCCAGCTTTTAAGGTTTTGTGAATGGGAGGTAGTTATCGATCGCTGCCGAACAAATCACCCCCAAGCCTAGCAGCTTAACACAGCTAGCATTTATTGTCTCACACAATCTCTGAGGGTCGGGAACCTGAGAGTGAGTGTCATGGGTGGTCACACCCATGGGAGGGTCACACCTCCCTCTTCCACTGGCCCCAGATATCACTGATTTGCTTTCTGACACTACAGATTAGCCTGGATTTTCCAGAATGTTATATAAATGGAACCATGAAGCGTGGTGTGTGTGTGTGTGTGTGTGGCTTTTGTTCTGCAGGATATTTTTTTTTCCAACGTTTATTTATTTTTGGAACGTTTATTTATTTTTGGGACAGAGAGAGACAGAACATGAACGGGGGAGGGGCAGAGAGAGAGAGGGAGACACAGAATCGGAAACAGGCTCCAGGCTCTGAGCCATCAGCCCAGAGCCCGACGCGGGGCTCGAACTCACGGACCGCGAGATCGTGACCTGGCTGAAGTCGGACGCTTCACCGACTGTGCCACCCAGGCGCCCCTCTGCAGGATATTTTTGAGATTTTCCCTGTTTTGAGTGGCTTGGTACTTTGTTGCTTTTTATTTATGTTTAAATTTTTTAATAAAGTTTATTCATTTATTTTGAGACAGAGAGAGAGAGGGAGAGAGAGAGAAACCCAAGCAGACTCTGTGCTGTCAGCACAGAGCCAGACGCAGGGCTTGAACCCATGAACTGTGAAATCATGACCTGAGCCGAAACCAAGAGTCGAGGCTTAACCAAATGTGCCACCCAGGCACCCCAGTAGTTTGTTGCTTTTTCTGGCCGAGGAGTATTCTACTGTCGGGTACTCTCTGGTTTGGTTTGTGTAATCCGTCCCTGTTGATGGACATTTGAAGAGCATTCTTAAAAGAAGGAGGAGCCCAGATCCCAGTGAAACGCAGAGTGGGTTCAGAGTAG